TCCTTGTTTTTAAATTCCTGGTTGTTAAATCATGCACTACCATGTGGTAAAATATGTTTACCTTTATAATCAGGAAGATTTCTCCCCCTTTGTTCCATATTTCTATTCTCTACTCTCTGTTCTTTGTTTTTGAACCTTTTTCCTGTTCTTGTGGCCTATTCATTTCAAATTGTCTCATCATTTAGCATTTGACCATGGCAGTTTTGGACTGCTGCCAACTTAACTATGCCTCTGGTATATTATACATGGATATTAATGTGGTGGATCTACTGTTCAATTACACAAAGAAGGACCAATACGTTTGAGCTGTTTCACACAATGCCACTGTGTATTTACTTAAAACTGTACTGGACCTCTCTGCTGAATATCACAGTACATGTGAGAGAAATATGTGTCTCTCTTGCTGCCATCCATTACCACGGTGACTTAGCTCATCATTCTTTTGTCTAGACTTCTCTTTCCTTTTACTATAACTTTCTTTTAGCTGGATACATTTGTCTGAGTGTTTGGACAATGTGTCTTGGTTTTGTTTTCCACTAAGTTATATTTTTACATTCATCCTATTTGCAACTTCTCTCAGTCTGACATATCTGTCTTTCCCCCTCCCCCCCTCCCGCCTCTTCCAAACATCTAGATCTCTTATTCGCTCTTACAGCTGATACATAACTAGCTTAATAAGTACTTTTAAAAAGCAATGCAGTCAGGAGAAACACCAGGGCTGGCAGCCTGAAGACCCCAGAAGGTTACCCAGCATGGTGGTATGAGGGATGTACGGGACTCCATCCTAAATCAAGCTGAATGGGAAAATCCAACACAGGGACAGCTGAGAAAAGCTCTGTCTGCCGTTCAGGAAAGGCTACAAAAACTTGGAAGGGAGCTTCTTGTGAAGAGTACATTTCTAACATCCATTAATTCAAAAAGGTAAAGAGACATTCTTCTGTGTACAACGTGTAGAGGGAAATAACTAATACAGGATATCTTCAAAAGCACCCACCAAGTTACAAATAAACTGTTCAGGAGACAAGCATGCAATGTCTGCAATTCCCTTTCTGACTCTCTACAAAGAAGCTAAAATCACAGTTGGCAATGGTTCTGAAATGCAACAGTAATCCATAAATACTCCTTAATTTTCCTGTCATTGCAGAATTAAGCTGCTTCCAGCTCACACAGATCTTACCAGGTGTGCTAAATTGATGTCATTATAAGCCATCAGGAAATACCCACAGAGACCTGTAGCAACATTTAGAAGTTTTGTTAAACAGCTGTGTGTTATAATTGATTTGTATTATTTAAAACAGCTAAAGCAAGTTATCGCCGGATGTAGAAAGGGATGACTGAAGACTCCAGGGAGATTTAACTCAGAAGACAGCCAATCACAGGAACTTCATTCGAGCATTTTAAGATTATTACTAGAGGAAGTGCAATTAAATCATCACCATTTATCAATTATCATTATAACATACTATGCAACCTTATCATGCTAATTTATTTATGAGAAGGTAACTAGTTGACTTCTGCTTTTTGCAATAAAAATAATCTAGTCAGTAAAAATATTTGAAGATGCTTTCTCTGCAAATGAGAGTGGCTTTCCACAATAGCCAAAAGCACCAAAAAAGTTCAAATTCTACCTAAAATTTGGTTTTGGAAATGTAATTGCTAAAAAGGTAAATTCTTTGGAGCTTAGGAAATGTCTCAGATCCTGATCACAGATGTATTTTACCATAGAGGCTATAAGCCAAAACATAGCTGTATTAAAAATGTGCACAGGCATGGCACCCATATTTCATAAAATATATGGAATATAAGTCCCAAATGATTAGTGTAAAATCCTGGATCTGGGAGAAAAGGCAGCATGACTTTCTTTTCCTAATCTGCCAACTATTGAATCATAGTGAAAAATCAGCCCTAGTTAAACGTTAAGTAACATTATGCATGGACAGTGGTAAGCTCAATTTTTCTTCTCTGTTGGTGGATTGCTTGTAGAATTTAAATTTTGTATCTGTTTTGGAGCAAAATCCTAAACGTTTTCTCTCTGCTGTTCATGTGTGCTGAGAGTTCAAGCCTGATTTGGTGTTTGCCCAATGACTTGCATTATATGATCTGTGTCCCTGTAGGCAAAGCCTAACCCACATAACAAAATGGGTCAGCACAAAATCAGAAACAGAAAACTCTGTATTTCAATTCAGAACACTGATTCATTTGAGAGGCAAAACCACTCTTTTTCATGTAGACCTAACTCTTGCTTTGATCTGAGGCTTGCAGGCTAGCACTTACAGTATGTTTTTATTATCTTTCATAATTCCTTTGAGAATACACTGATTTCTACTGCTGTTTTATATTTGGACTGGCATATGCATCTCTCGGTTTACAAGGGGAAGTGTTTGTTGCACCAGTGGTTGCTGGCACTGAAAATATGGTAGTATTCACACTGCTAATTGTACTGATCCTTTCCTCTCCTCTGATTCATCTCCAGAGATGTACACTTCCACAAACCACACATTCTCTTGTCTTCTTATCTCTTGACTGAATGACCATAAGCAAATGCACCCTCACTGCCTAGTGCCTTTCTGCTTTCATCTAAAATTAAAACTGTAGACCTCTTAAAGCTGCTCTCCTGGAGGCTCTCTCTTGCAGCCATGTGGGAAAGTACATTTCCAATCCAGGAATGCAGCTGGGGCCTTTGGACCAAGTTCAATACTGATGTAAAGCAGGCTAACCTCACTGAAGTCAGTGGAATTCAATGGCCTTGAGCCACAGGTACGCACAGCGAAAAGGTGCACATACAAATGGCACAGGGAAAAAAAGCAAAGTTATTCCAAATTATGTAGTGGGATTGCTGGGGGATCTTAACTTGTCTGGCTTCTGCTACCTGCCAGCAGTTCCAGTATTGTGCTATCAGCCTGAGGTACAGTCTGTATTACTCAAGGATAAACAGTAATCTCTTATTTAATGGAAAGTCACCTTGATGTTATGTTCCATAGTATTTTCCTGCTATAACTTTGTTAATTTCTCCAAAATGTTTTTCCTTACGTTTTAGTTTGTGCTTGTCACTGGACTCAAACTGTCTAAACTGTCTCTGGAGAGGTGACACAGAGACAAAAGGTTAGCACTCCACGCATTTTACCACCCATGAACTCTGCTTCTGCAAGCCTTTGTGTGTATGTATCTCACACACATCTCTAGTTATTAGCTGCAGGACAGTTTTACTTTATTATTCCTTAAGAGGCAAAAATAATCTCTGGGTGAGAGTGACCTGGTTTTCCTTTTGGCTTCCACCACTCTGGCTTTACACATACCAAACATACTGTTTATGCTTTATTCTCAGTAGCACTGCATTATTATTTATTATCTATACAGAGATGTAGGTTCTTGAAGTGCTTTGCAGATGAGTAGAAAGAGACTGTGCTTTCTACAGAGGAGTTTCAACGCAGCTTCAGGCCACAGTAAAAGAGGAGTGTAGAAAAAGCACACCATCTCTGGAATGCACATAGCAGATTCTCCTGTACATTTTTGCAGGTGGGAATATAAACTATTCACAAGCCACAACAGCTCAGGTGGGAAATACCAGACTTGTCAGCCCTAAAGGATACCTAGCATCGATTGCAGGGTTACTGGTATCCATCTACCAGGAATGCAAGGAGGTGGATGCAGCAAAGGCAAAGTTAATTGAATCCTCTGCCTCTCTATGCAGAAACAGTCATGATTGATTTAGCCACAAACCTGAAATTTCAGCCATAAATCATGAAACTCTACTGAAAAATCTGAATACTTTCTTGCACAGAAAATCAGTTATCTGCTACCATATTACATGATTTTATTAAAACCTAAATTTCTCATCTTCATTCTGCAGTAGACAAGTCAGGTAATTAATACTTTATGTAAAAACATGTATTATGAGGATCTGCAAACTCAGAACTGGAATTCAGACATGAACAGCAAACATCAAAAAAACAATGCTTGTTAGGTTCTCGGGGAGCTTTTATAATATATAAAAAATAGTCTGTGGCTGCAAAAACATTAATGCTGCTTGTGTTATCATCATTGAGTACCACCTACAAATAGGCATCCTGTAATTAATTGTATTTAGTTGAATTAAGGAAACACCTGTAGAACTCAGCTGAGGCTACATCCCTGTTGGGATGCTGTGGTAAGAGACCTGTGTACCTGGAAACAGCTAAAATCAAAAAGTTAAGGAAGGAAAGAAAGGGGAGAAAGAAAGGACACATTAGTATCTTTGTTTGATGATGAAAAATTCACACCCAAAGAGTCTTTATTCTTTGTCCAAAATTGCACTGGAGGCCTGGAGCCAAGGGAAGAAACCAGAGCAACCAACTTGCCTCTCACTCTTCCTTGAACAAGTATGACTGTTTTCAAGAGAGCCATCATTGCAAGCCTGGGAACGGCTGCTGAAATGATCTGGTGACTTTAAAACCACTTTAAATGAAAGTGATTTGAATAGCTCTAAAAGAAGGCAGTGATGTCACAGTTTACTAATCTGTTTCCTCTTGTAAAACATGGCATTCATAAACTATCAGTTCTTAAGGACATAGTCAGCAATAACTTATTGACTGAGAGACCAGTTTTCTCTCCTTCAATCCTAAAGATTGCAAGTTTATTTAAAATTGAAAATTACAGTCTTTTTTAGTAATCTGATTAACAGACAATCTGTGAAATGTTACACTAATATATTTTACTTACATAAATAAGTCTACTTTTGTATATTTACCCAAATCCATGAATCCTCAGAAATTGCCTGAACTTTTCAGGATTGGCTTTGGAAAAGTATTTTAAATGAAAGATATTGTCACATTAAGTCTTACATGGTGAACACCTATATATCCTTTTAAATCCTGGACTAAAACTACTGTTGGTAATGGGCTCAGCACAACCTCAGTTAGACTTTTATATATTTTACTTGTGTCCAGGAAGGGAATAAGGCTACTGAGGATTCAGGCATATATTGCATTCATCAGTTTTGTAAAGGACCAGTGTTTTCTCACCTGCTGTGTAATAGTGTCCCAGGGCCCCTCCAGCAGATGAGCCTGGTAGCATGCATGAACATTTTTCCATATTTCATCCAGAGTTAAAGGTCTTCCATCTGTTGGGGGGGGGGCGGGGAGGAAACAGCGATCCACAGTCAAAAATAAGCAAAATGTGACTGAGCCCCTGCTGGCCCCATAACTCCAAAACAGTATTGCTCAAATCCTGACTGAGGGGGCATATAACACTACTCTGAACTCCCTGTTCAGCATTCTTCTCTGTCACCTGAGAATAACAACTTACTGTTCAGATTGTAAGGTGTGAAGTTAAACTAATTCTGTAAAACAATGCTTGGATGAGATAAATTTAAAACCACAAAACAGTATCATAAATGGTTATCTCATGTAAATACAAATACAACAAGAGAGTGGAAAAAATCTAAGGAACAAAATTCTGCAGACAAACGTTTACTTACATCATTTTGGTAACCTACATGCCTATTTCTTCCTGAGATGCATTTATATAGCTTTGTTGCATCAGGTTTTAGTTTTAATGTTAGAATTATACCAAGATATAAGTGTCAACCACTTAGAAAATAAGCATGTCAATTTTTTCTGTATATTTGGTTTTGGCAAACAGCAATAGAATATTTTGATATACTTTCAATAAGTAGCTTCATCTTGGCATTTATTCGGTGTCAGAAACCATCATCCTGTGATAAATAGTTTTATTCAACTGACATTTTCATGTCTGTAAAACGAACAAGATTTATTCACCCAATTAACATTTGAATGCCATGTTTAGATATAAATTAAAACCAGCAGCCTACAGACTCTGTTTTGTCTTAATTTCTGCCCATATTTATAAAAAAGCACCAAGTTTTGAACTTACAGAAGCATCACACAGCAGAAGCATGTGGCAAATAAAGTATCTGAGGTGGTAACAGCGTATTAACTAGGCATACCATGCCACACTTGTGTTAGACTATCATGCTAGAGTTGTGCTGGAGATGGTCTAACATTAATTTACTATGAAATTTGTTACAAGAGCATAAATTAACTTTAGAAGGATGTATTTACACTCAGACCATCTGTGTGAAGGTAATATGAGATGCCATGCGTACTTGCAATTTTCTGTTTTCTATTCAACCTGCAGAGTATCCAGGGAAAGTCCAAATGTAAAATCTAGAACACACATTCTAACGCAAAATTTGATTTGCCACTCTAGATTTTGTTCTGCACACCTTTCTTTGCATCTGAGAATTTTTATTGTAACACTTGAGCAAGTTCAGATCATAGATATGGAATGGATTACTCTGATTCTAACGGTTAATCTCATTTACAGAAACAATCAAAAATTATTGAGGCATTAATCATATTAGTTAAAATTGAGTTTTGTCTTCATCTCATGGATTTTATTACTTCATGTATGAGAAGCTGTACATCTTCCATCATATATTATATCTCCCATGATATCATACATTGGTTGATCAGAAGCTCAACATGAGCCAGCAATGTGCACTTGCAACTAAGAAAGCCAACTGTGTCCTGGGCTGCACGAAGAGCAGTGTGGGCAGCAGGGCGAGGGAGGGATTCTCCCCCTGTATTCCACTCTCATGAGACACCCCCCCTGCAGTGCTGGGTCCAGGTCTGGGGGCACCAACATGAGGACAACGACCTGCTCAAGAGTGTCCAGAGGAGGCCACGAAGATGTTTGGGGGGCTGGAGCACCCCCTGTGAGGACAGGCTGAGAGAGTTGGGGGGTTCAGCTGGAGAAGAGAAGGCTCCGGGGAGACCTTAGAGCAGCCTCCCAGGGCTGAAAGGGGCTGCAGGAAAGGGGGGGGGACGACACTCGTCATCAGGGGGTGTAGGGATAGGATGAGGGGTAATGGTTTTAAACTGAAAGAGAGTAGATTTAGGTTAGATGTAAGGAAGAAGTTCTTTCCTGTGAGGGGGGTGAGGCCCTGGCACAGGTTTCCCAGAGAAGCTGTGGCTGCCCCCTCCCTGGAAGGGTTCAAGGCCAGGCTGGACGGGGCTTTGGGCAACCTGGGATAGTGGAAGGTGTCCCTGCCCACAGTGGAGGGGTTGGAAGTAGATGGTCTTTAATGTCTTGTGCAACCAAAACAATTTTATGGTTCTATGGTTCCATAATATTTCAATATAGAATTATTTTCTTTTCAGAGAAAAATACAAAGACATCCAAACTGAAAGTTTCACTTCATATCGGAGTGAGATCACAGGGAGTAAAATACTTCAATAGTTTATACAGAGTAATTGCAATATTTCACATAGGAACAAAAAATTGATCTGGGCATTCTGACTATGCACTTACGTATTAAAATATGCTTGGATTTAAATCTCCCTATATTTTTTATTTCCTGGACTACTTTAATATATTTCACTAAACTTTTAATAGGTTTGAATTAATTGTAGTTTTTAAACTAAGCTTTCATACATGCTCCCAAGTATTGTGTTCCTGTAAATTCTTATTTAACTGACTAGCTTTGTTTTCTAGAAGATGGGAGGCCAGATGCAGCAAGAAAGAACAAGCTACCAATACTTGAAATGGATGTGAGGTTCAACTACATAGTTGGGAAATGCAAGACCCTTGCAAACAGAGTCAGGATGGATGGACAGTTTCCCCACATGCTTTTGTGGGATGAAGACCTGAAGGTCTGTCATTTTCCCTCTCAATTAGAAAACAATAACACCACCAACAACAAACCAAGTACACTAAGATCTTAAAATGACTGCTAGGACTGTTTGTTAGAAAGCATCTGGGGAAGAAGAAGGGGAGTTTGGAGTTTTTGCAGTCTGTTTTGGTTTTGTTACAGTTTCAGTGTCAGAGGGTAAGTGGGGATGACAAAACTAGTTTGTGGTGGGTTGACTTTGGGTGGACGCCAGGTGACTACCCAAGCTGCTCTATCACTCCCCTCCTCAGTTGGACAAGGGAAAGAGAATATAACGAATGACTTGTGGGTTGAGATAAGGACAATTTAATGAAGCAAAAGCAAAGGTCATACACAAAAGCAAAGGAAAACAAAAGATTTTATTCTCTACTTCCCATAAGCAGGTGATGTTCAGCCACTCTCCAGGAAGCAGAGCTTCAGTATGTGTAGTCGTTGCTCTGGATGACAAATGTCATAATAATGAACATCCCCCCTGCTCCTCCTTTCTCTTAGCTTTTATTGCTGCGCAGCGGTCATATGGTATGGAATATCCCTTTGGCCAGTCTGGGCCAGCTGTCCTGCTATGTCCCCTCCCAGGATCTTGCCCACCCCCAGGCTACTGCTGAGGGGGCAATGTTGGAGAGGCAGCCCTGGTGCTGTGCGAGCACTGCTCAGCAGCAGCCAACACGCTGGCGTGTCATCAGCACCCTTCCAGCTACCCATGCAAAGCACAGCACTAGGAGGGCTGCTATGGGGAAAGGTAACTCCATCTCAGACAGAACCAATATACCATTTCAGGCAATCTGGCTGGAGGTGTGTTTTGTCCTTTAAAACTTCTAGGTTTGTGTGAATTTGGTCATCTGCTTAGGATAATGTAAGTGAACCAATTTTATCTGCAAGCTCCCAGATTTGCACAAAACACACATCTGTATTCTCCAGGCACTTCTAGACCCCTATTTCCAGGGCTGCCAGCATTCACATGTTAAGGAGCCCTGTTACACGTTCTTGCAACCCACTGAGACCTCAGATATCCAGCTGGGCTGACAGAGAAGTCTGTAATTGTTGCTGCTAGCAACAAGAGGCCACTGTGGCACCTGCTGAGCCAAGCAGCTTCTCTGCTTCTTGTCTCATTCTTTCCTGTGATGGAGCTGAACTCACAATGTTCAGCCAGAAAATGAAGGCAACAGCAGCATCATGCCAAGAGAAGTGGCAGGAGAGGAAGGTAGAGGCTTCAAATTCACCCAGCAATACATTTACTCATCATCCACCCACGATGACACAGCTGTTGGGATGCTTGCAGCTTGGCCCAAATCTTATCCCAAGTCTAGCTGGGAACGGGTGTGCAGACAGAAGCAAAAGAGAAAAAAGATAAAGGATAAGAGTCAATAACTCCTAAGTATGGGTTCTGTCTCTGCCATTAATTAACTATGGGCTCAAATCAACCAGTTCATCTGCCTTTAACAGTCAGGGAAGAACAACTATAGCCTTCCTATCACAAACTCAAATTTTTACTATTTATACTGTCTAGACTATAACAAACTTTTCTGAGAAAAGCTTCTTGATGGTCAACTTGGGGTTAACTCATTTATGTCACCACAAATAAATAGCTAAAAAGCAGATGGTTGAGTGCCCCCTCACAGCAGCAAGGTGTGGCATTAAGGCTACATATGAGTTGCAGCTCCCAGCTGACTTGGCACTGTAATTTCTGTAAAGAGCATAAATTCTTTAGGCATACAAATTTCACATACATTTTCAGAGAAAATTTTCAGGCTTTCCAAGTTCCTGTATTCTGGTTTTTTGATGTTTACTGAGGGCCTTTAATAATTTCTTGGATTTCCAATTAAAGGTGAAATGGTGCACAAATTGTTTTGAGGCTTCATTCTGGTATACTTTCCAAATAAACATTCTTAAGAAACCATTGCCATAAAAGAAAAAAAGCAGCTTAGGATAATATCTGATTTTTTATTTATGTTCAAATTTTATTTATGTTCAAAGCCACAATAAAACCAGTTTGAATGGGACATGGTCTTAAGAGGAGCTATCTTTCTGAGAGCTAGTTGTTACATGCTTTAGAGCACTGAGATTACTTCTGTATTCTGGAAAGTACAAGTCAGGCCCAGTATGGCTATGAATACAGAAAGTCATGCCTTCAGGGTTGGAGGAAGTTACATTATCTTACAAGCTCCCCCTCTCTAACCACTAACGCATTTTTGATTGGCAGGGATCTATCTGTACATCAGAGCGCTAGACATATTTTGAGCACATCAACTTGAAAATCCCATTCCTTCTCTTTTCTAGAGGAGTTAGGCTACAGTCCTTACTGACCCCCATTAGTTCTGCTCTTTCTTGTCAGTGCTTAGGCAGCATTCATGATTCTTTCTATACCTTTGCAGGAAAAACACAAAAGAAGCGTGAGACAAGCCAATATTTTCTTAATATGCAGGGTGATTCCTGAATGATGCCTGTGTCCACCTGTGACTGTGTTGCTGCTCCTACCTCACTGTGGTGCAAGAGGTTTTTGAACGTATGGCTTCAGATGATGACAGTTCAGGAAAAGACCAAAGTTCCTTGACACCTTAAAGACTAAGAAAAGGGGAAAATACTCTACTGATTAAAGAAAGCTTACTGGACCTAGCCCAGCCCATCTGGCTGATGCCAGCACTGAAGGGGAAGGCTAATTGACTATACCATCTGTCTCTAAGAGGGCTAATTGCTGACATCAGATATCAGCAGGGGTTCATGCATTTCTTCTACTACCTATGTGGTAATCTCTGGAGCCAGAGAAAGAAAGAAGGGCGGCTCTTTCTGAAAGGTATGGCATGTATAAAACTGATTTTTGAGAAATGACACCTAGTTCTCTGAGACACTGAGGACCACTGTCTGGAGCTCCTCCTGACACAGACTGGGACTTCAGTAGGTCTGAATTTAGGTATATATGCCACGTCATGAGGTAGTGAAAATGTTTCTTACATATATATATATATATATATATA